GTACACTGTTTTCAGATCCACTGTCAGAATAGGAAGTCAAGCTAAGGTCGTGGTCACCAAATGATAGTTGTGATTCAATCAAGCATTGATCAGTGGTGCAAGCTTCCTCTGCTTTTAACTCATCTTCTGATGCTTCTGCAGAATCTTCTGAACGTTTCTCCATCTGATCCTGATGTTCCTTTTTACCAACACCAGAAACTGGATCTTTTCTGTAAAATTCAGGGTCCTATTAGCAAAATTATTTAACAACTACTTAGCTCCAAAAGAGAACATTTAATTAAGAATTTAAATAATAAATTCTGTTTCCAGTAAAGGAGAAAAGCTATGATCGCATACAACCAAAGATTATCCACATAATGTGAATTACTATACGTTTAGGATGAAAATTAAATGTGCCAGCGTTGGATATTATTCCTTTCCATTAATTGGGAAAAATCTTAGCAAGGAACAGAAAAACTTGAGGAGCTATAACGGGAAACATTTCTAGTCAGTGCCCAGAAAACTTAACTGATATATACTAGAATAACGATATAAATATGGAATTTTGTTTAGAAACTTCTTTTTTTGGTTTTCTATAGGAATACTCATAGGTGACCAGCCATCTATATTATAAATAACAGCAAAAAAATAAATAAATGTTCCACACTCTTGTCAGCTTAGTGGCGAGGCTGTATATTTGCAATTCAAAGGATCTTGGTTGAAACATGCCTGGGCACTCCTTCACAATATTTGTTGATGATTACATGGGGGCTTTAAATGTAAGCCACATCGTCCATCAACAAAACCAGTGGACTTAGCCGGTTCATCAGTCTATTAGAAAACCGGCCAGTCCTATATAATGGTCAAAACTATGTTTCGAAATGCCAATTCTCAAAGAGCATAAGCTAAGAACAACAAAAGAACAAGCAAGGAAGGGGGAAAGACTACCAAAAAAAATTATAAATATTTTTTTCAAAATTACAGCCTTATATTTTCAAACTCTGTTTCAAAAGATGCTGCCTGATTCTCAAATTCCACATACTTAGCTGTACGTTGAACATCAAAAATGCATATGGCAAACTAAAACAGATGTAATTCCTAGAATACTCGAGAACATATATTAAATAAAAAGGAATTACTAGAATTCAGTATCTGACAAACCGCAGACCTTTCCTCAGTGGAAGAGTCTTCTGAATTTTTAACATCTTCCAATAGCTCTTGAGAGACCTCATTGTCATGTTTGCTGAGAGAACTGGGGATATTTACATTATTGCCTGCACCAAATTCCCCCACTTCACATAACTCTTGCACATTGCTATTGCCAGAACCAGAATAACCATCAGAGGATTCGAGCACCTTGATCTGCTCAAAACCCACCCAAGTTAATCCAAAGATAAATGGCAGCTAAAGAACAAGAATTTTGGGAAACTTGAGGGTAAACACCTGTATCACCACATCAGAATCCCTAAAGCGTGGACGTCTTATATCCATGGATGGTTGGCGCTCAAACATGCTCTCCTCAACCTGAATTGCTCTGCCTTTTGGCTGAATTACCAAAAGTCAGTCAGTAAAAGAGCCCAAACATGTATTTGAATGCAACAGTTGAGAAGGTAGCTTAAATCAACGTATAAAACATCAAAGTTGGATGTAATTAATAACATGTCATCATACCAGCTCACATACCATAGAAAGAGAAGGTAAACTCCCAGATACAGATTGTTCAGTTTGCTCTCTTGTGGCATCCTGAAATATTTTGGCAGGTAAGGATAGGTCAAGTGAACTTTAGCACAACACAACCTGTAAATCTATTAACCATTTTTCTACATGTCATCACACACCAGATTAATTTTTGAAGACCCATTAACAGCACTACCAGTTTGCGTGGATGCTTCCCAAAGTTGCTCCTGCATACAATTTAAGTGCATGATTCTTTTAAATAAGCTTTGCAAGAACCTTCAAACGAAACAAAATGCCACTATTTTATCCATGAAAGCATTAAAGTTTGATAAATGAAGGTCTGCACTCCAGTCTGCTAAAAACAACATGCATCAAATTATTGTTAGAACTTGAGATTCCTAACTCACAATTTACTCACCAGTGATGCACAGTAGTTCTTCCAAGAGTTCTCATCAAAACCAAAATTGAAATAATCTGTTATGTCAACTCCAAGGGTTCTCCATGGCTTCTCCTCTAATGTATCAATGTTTACATCAAATATACTCCTGTTATGGGGAAAAATAGAATGGAGGAAGTTAAGATATTTGAATGCCAAATTGAACATAGCATAAAAATTTTATTATTACTGTAAAACTAAGAATCATGTCGTGTAATTATAGGCTACAAATAGAACCAATATTTATATACTCACCAGTGCCAAGGAAGATACGATTGGTATCCACATTGAACCACCATTGGATTTGCCGCAGCACATACATGTGCAATGCGAGAGGAGCTTGATAACTGTTTCTGGATAGATGAATTACCATTGCGCCCACCTTTAGTATAGGGAGAAGGATAGGAAACCAGCCCCATAGACTTGTTGACTTTCATATTGTTCACTAGCGCTGAACCTCTCCTTACATACTACAGAAATGAAAATAGAAATAAGGAACAAAACTTGAACGCCTTTAAACATTAATCTCCTGTGTCAGTTGCAAAACTAATGCCACATGGCCCAATATGATGGAAGATGAAGCAAAAATATATTGTAGACCTTTAATTGCGAAAACAGAAAAAGGTCAAAGGGGAAAATATCATCGCTCCCCACTTGGAATAATTCAGAGACATACGACCTCAAAAGTAGGCAGTTATTTTGTTTTTAGTATCATTCTGTCAAATTATGAGTTTCTCATAATGGATAAAAAAAAATTTGGCTCTAACTAGTTGAAGCGCTGATGTGAAGTGTGTCCTTGGTTTAGGCAATAGTCAGTCACCATAATCTTTTGAATTACATCTTCTTCGAGTATCATGCTTGTTATCTAAATCCAGTCAAGTAGACGCTGTTTACAGGGAGAAAATTTTATATATAATTCATGAAACCTGACTTGTTCTACATTTGTACTAACTGGAAACAAATTAAACTAGATATTTCATAATTACAAACAGTCCATAAAGAGCTACTACCTTATGGTGAAAAAACTGTGATTTGTATCCTCCTTTCAGCCCACTTCTAGTATGAACTTCCAGTCCATTGGAACTTACCAGTTCAGCTCCATCAGCCAGTTGATCTCCGCACTTCCCATTCCTAACCAAATTGCTACCCTCAGTGAGGCCTACAGCTTCATCACTGTCATCCTCATCATAACCAACCCCTCTCACAACTCCCTCGTTCCAAACAGCCCCCACTGGGAAACGCGGGCAATCCTCATCGTTCAACAATATATTCAAATCATCCTCACTGTCACTTCCAATATAATCATCATTCGCCTCCTTATCATCATTGGACTCCGAAACCTGACCGCCAGAATGTGTTGATTCGCCACATTCAGCATCAACTTTCATTGCGTCCGAGACAAAATCCTCCCTAAGCTTAGCATCTTGACTCCTCGTGTCATCACTACCATCATCTTCTTCGGGTTCTATGTACAACCGAGCAAAATCGGGCACGTCATCAGCAGCTGAAGTCCCGTGAACTTCAACGTCAGCGTAAAGTTCTCCAAAATCATCGTCAAAGTCTTCCATTTCTATCAACAAAACTCAGAGACAAAGGAAAGGTAATCGTTGGGGCTTAGGAAGATTAGGATCTTCCATTAGTGATGATAAGGTTGACGAGGGATATCCGGTTGAAGAGCCTTACAGTCCCTTCCAGGCTGAGGGCAGGGAGCAGTGAAGTATGCTCACTCGCACTAAATATCTTTGAACCAAAACCCCCTGGGGACCTTAAACCCTAGCTGATGGGATGACGAGGCAAAAAGCTAATTTTGTCATTTTTCAATCTGAGAGTAAAGAGAGCTCATCGTCCGTTCTTTTAATTTTATTTTTATTATGAGGTAAATTATATATATATGAATAATATTAATTTTTTAAGTTTGAAAAATTTATGAAATTTAAAGAAAGTGTGAACATGTGTTTCAATAAATTATATTTTCAATAAAATCAATATTATTTTTACAATATTTTGATCATATATGAACTTAAATATATTTGTGTATATTTTACAAAAAAAGTTTATATAATTAAAGTATAAATTAACAAAAATAAAAATAATTCATTTTTTTTGATAAATTTATATAAAGTTCTTTTTCTTTTTCTTTTTCTTTTTTTAACTAGCAATTTGCATAAGGTTCGTAAACAAGCACAAAATGTCAGGCAACGTAAATCCCAAGTAATTTTAATTTCAAGATTGTTGTGTCACGCAGACATATTTATTATACAAGCTTTTAAATTCTTACCATGGACTGGACTTTTGGCTTTTTTGTTTGAATGAAAATGTCAATATAGTTATACTGTTTTAAACTTAAGCTTTAGTTTCAAAAGTTAATTTTTTAATGAAAAGATGTATTGATTTATAAACCTTTAACTATCAGTTCAATCAGATTTTAGAATGTCTCGTTCATTTTTAATTTATAATACAATGAAGTATTCAAATCATAATCTCGTAACGCATGTAAAAGCATAGCAATAATTCTTTTGAAATGTTAACTGAAAATTCATCCTCTATTGCTTTATCCAGACTGGGAAAGTCAGAAATCATTTGAATCCCCAAGAACACGTTTACATTGGGAAGCTGGTTCAGAACAGGAATAGATTTGAGTCAGAATATATACATGCTAATGAAAATGAGGGGAAAAAAATTAAACGCATTCATAAAAGCCTAAACCCACGCCCAAAAGGCACCATCTTGATGGAAAATATTGCCCTGCATAGGCCTGAGTTTTTCATGGTGAGTCTGTTGTTTCCTCTAACTCAAGGTTAAAAAAAGGTCAACGAGCAGGGACCAAGAAGCTCCGTTTTTGGCCAATAAAAGCTCCTAATATCACTTCATTCTACAAAAATGACACTAGTGGTTCCTAATCCTTATATTATCTTCCTTTCTGCTCAAAAATTTGCGAAAAAACTGTACTGGAATCATCAATCTCATCTGCTGTTGCACTTGTACTCCCTTCTCCAGGGTTCAAAATACCATTAGCATTATGAATAGCATAAGCGTTATTTGCCTTCTCTACTGCTGCATGCTCCCCTCCACCTGGATTCTCCTGCAATTGAAGTGCAAATTCAAGGTTCCACAATACATCACCCATTGAAGGCCTTTCAGGCCCCTGATCAATTATACATTTCAGAGCAGTCTCCACAAATTTCTTCAAACACACAGGGCTGATTTCATCTCTAAGTTTTGGATCAATGATGCTCTCCAAATTCCCCTCCCTTTGACACATTAAAGCCCAATCCGCCAGGCTTGCTTGTTCTCTAGGCAAGTTAGGATCTAGCGCAGGCCTCGCACAAATCACTTCGAAAAGAACAACCCCAAAAGAGTAAACATCGGATTTTTCTGTGAGTTGCTGCCTCTTGAAGTACTCAGGGTCTAAGTATCCAAAGCTACCTTTCACAATTGTCGACACATGGGTTTGGTGCAGATCAGGACCTGTTTTGGACAGCCCAAAGTCGGATACTTTTGCTACCCATTTATCATCTAACAGTATATTTGTGGTTTTAACATCCCTGTGAATGATGATGAACTGGGCACCAGTGTGAAGGTAGTGAAGCCCTCTTGCAGCTCCTATGCAGATTTTGAGCCTTTGCTTCCATGGTAAAGCTGGCTTATTGCTTCTGTATAGGTGTTCTCTTAATGTTCCATTGGCCATGTAATCGTAAACTATGATCATCTCACCATTTTCTTCACAAAACCCAATCAGAGAGACTAAATGTTTGTGCCTTAGCTTTGAAAGCAATTCAACTTCAGTCTGAAACTCCAAGAGTCCTTGCTCAGAAGTTGGGTTTGATCTCTTTATAGCAACATTGGTCCCTCCATCTATGACACCTTTATAGACTTTCCCAAACCCACCAACACCAATAACCTGTGATTTGTTGAAGTTCTTTGTAGCATGCCTGATCTCTTGCAATGAAAAGTGTCTACATAACCCTTGTCTCAATGATGAAAGAGTACTGCTACAACCCGAGAAAGTTGATTTGCTAGCTGTTGTTTGCGAATGCCCATATAGAGGCAACCAACTCCTGGTAACAGAATCATTCCCATCATCTTGTCTTCTCTTCCTATAGGCAACAAAACACATAGCAACAGCAAAAGCAGCCCCAACAGCTCCTCCAGCAACCCCTCCTATGATTGGAGCGTGATTTATTTTTGAAGAGCTAAATTCCTTCCTAGCTTCATCTTTAAGAAGCATATCTGATGGTGTAGGATTGCGCCCAGCTAAATTTCTATCATCTGAACTAACCTTAAAAATCTCCAATCCATTAAGAATAGCATCATAGTATTCTGGTTGCTTTGAAACAGAAGGGCGTAAAGTGACCCATAATGTTTCATCACCACGCCCATCAGCGATGGAAATTGCGTAGTCTTTATAAGCAGGAACCCCTCTGGAACCTGTCCATGCTAAGACATCGGCAGTTTCTTGGGCTGTTTGATTATTAACATAAATATCAAACACCCTTTGGTTAATCTTGTCTAATTCCAACTCACAGAAATGAAGCCTCACAACGTAGGTAAAAATTGGATCAACCAGAAACACCCAAGTGAGATTGTGGTTCTGGTTGGCACTAGCATTAGGATCCATGGTTCTTGCAAAGCTGTAGACATCTACAGGGGCAATGGAGCGAGGCATATCAGAAGGGTATTGAATCGTCACATTCTCATCAGCGCCAGAAGTGACCCCACTTCTTACTCCAAGTAGATAGGGGCTATCGTTGTACCATGTCCTGCTCAAATGACCAGAGTCCTTGTTGGGTTCTATGAATTGTCCTCCAACATTCAAACGAAACATAGTCTGCAACGACCTGCTCCCAACATCAATAAAACGGTCAGTGGAGACCAACTTGGCAGGCTTGAACATCTCAGGCATAGAGACTATCTCAATCCCATTAACAAAAGCATATGATCCATGGTGCCTCAAAGAAGGTGAGAAGGTAATGCTGAGTTCTCCGGATTGAATTGGTAGAAGAGAGTATTCTTTGATGAAATAGGCTTGTGTTGAAGCTTGTGCTGTAATGAAGGAACTGAAATTGTGGAGGAGAATAAGATCATTTGCATGAACTGCAAAATAAGCATCGGAGGGATCAAGGCCGCTATATTCTGAAGGGTAAAAATGGAGTCGAAGCCAGTGGCGAGTTTCAGAAGAGACGGGAAATTTGTATGTGGTTGGGGAAGTGAAGATTCTCGCGGACATGTAAGGAATTTGGGAAGGAAGAGAAGGGTCTTGGTATTGTGCTGTTGAGTTTATCGTGTTAGTGGAAGAGGTTAAGAATCTATAATCCGATCGCCACCGTCGTCCGTGACTATCTACGCCCACATTAGAGGGAAGACCACAAGAAATGACAAAAGAATCTAAGCCTGATGAAGCTTTTGAACCAGAAATTACGATAAAAAATACGATCATAAGAGAAAACAAGGCATGGCTATGAGATTTCATGGCTTAACAAGACATCTGTAAGAAGAATTTGAGACGAAACAATAACAACTGCATTTGAGAGCGATGGAAATGCATGATAGGCATAAATTAATGGCGATTACAATGTGAAGGAACGTTAAGGGGGGAAACGCGGAAATTCAGAATAACTTCTGAGGAATTTGCCCAGCCCCAGCCCCCAAGAGAATTTAGAAAGATCATGAAATTAAAGGTGAAACTTTTTTTTTTTTAATGAATTTGTTTTCTTTTATTTCTGGCGGGTGTAGGAGAAGAAGCCAAAGTGGCGTTAAATAGAGAGGAGAGGTTATTCTTAATTCTAAGAACGGTTAGAGTGGAGAAAAAGATAATACACTTGAATAATACTACCTCCGGTCCTAATTATAAGACCCAGTTGATTTATTTGAGGAGATTAAGAAAGTAAGTTAAGTTAGTTATTTATAATAAATAAGTATTGTCATTCCTAAAATATTTTTACTAATTAAATATATTGGCTAGAACTATCATTATTAGAAGGATTATCTTGAAAAAAAATACTCCTCCGGTCCTAATTATAAGACCCAATTGACTTATTTGAGGAGATTAAGGAAGTAAGTTAAGTTGGTTATTTATAATAAATAAGTGTTGTTATTCCTAAAATATCCTTGCTAATTAAGTATATTGGCTAAAACTATCATTATTAAAAAGATTATCTTGGGAAAAAATGCATAAATATAAAAGAGAAAATGGATTGGGTCTTATAATTAGGACCAAATAAAAAGTCAAATTGGGTCTTATAATAAGGACCGGAGGAGTACATAAATATGGGAGACAAAATGGATTGGGGTCTTATAATTAGGACCAAACAAAAAGTCAAATAGGATCTTATAATAAGGACCGGAGGTAGTATTATGCATGCCCCTCCGGGGGCATTTCTTCAGTTTGAACTTTGAATTGATATATGGGAAAATAGGTTTGTTAATCCTTATAGTTTCATTGGATTTTGAATTAGGTCCCTCTAGTTTTATTTCTTTTTATTGAACCCTTATACTTTGTTCCGTTAAAGCCATAGGTCCTTCCGTTAATAAATTATCAAAACACTGTTTGGTTTCTCTCCCCCGGTCAAAAGCAGGTGGCTCTCTATCATCAGCCACGACCAGTTCGATGATGACGCCGAGAAGGAGAGCTCTTTCTTCAACTGGTTCTGCTTCTCTATCAATATTGGCGTGTCGCTTCTATGTGTTTTGGATGTTGATGCTAATCGATGAAGGTTATGTGCAATCCTGCACATTTGCACACGACTCTGACTTGACTATAAGAAAGCCCAGTGGCTCCCATTAGACTCTTCTATCTAATTGTAATTTATTATTTAATATCTTGTTTTGTTACTACCTTAGCACACTATTTTATGTAGGCCTTTTTCCTTAACGATGCCGGAGGAGTTTGGTAGTTTCTTTCAAACTTTTGTTTTGAGACCCTTGCATTATTCCATGAAAGAGCATTGATTTTTTAGTTTCAAATGCTCATGACCTTCGGCAATATTAATTTATGATTTTAGATTGATCAACGCCAAAAAAGTAATAATAGTTATTAGAGTTTTAGGGATGAGGCTGTTTGGAGTGGCTAGAGGCTAAAGCATGATGACCATCTAGTTCGCAACACCCAGAGGCCTCGCCATTTGCCTCATTCCTCAGAGACCCTGCCTTCACGAGTTGGAACCTACTAGCAAGAACCCACATGTGCCAGCCCTATCTCCTCCTCTCTTAGCAGAAGGCTCACCGCTGTAGAAGTAGCATAGAAGCGGCATGCCGATATTGATGGAGAAGAACCAGCTAAAGAAGCAGCTCTTCTTCTCCTTCTTGGTGTCATCATCAAACTAGTCATGGCTGATAAGAGAGAGAGCCACCGGCTTTTAATGGGGGAGAGAGAGCGACTAACGGTGTTTTGAGAATTTATTAACAGAAGGACCTATGGCTTTAACGGAACAAAGTATAAGGGTTCAATAAAAAAAAATAAAACTTGAGGGACCTAATTCAAAATCCAATAAAACTATAAGGACCGATAAATATATTTTCCCTTGATATATTAACTCGCTTGAGACATTCCATTATTGATCCCTTTTTAATGGTTTTCTTATTATCTTGATTACACCATCAAGGTGATTTTTGATTTATTGCTTGAAATTTAATAAGTGAAATTGTTGTTTTTTCTTTGTTAAAAAAAAAAAACTGTCCACGTAAACACGACCATCAAAGTAGAGAAAGTAATTTACACTAGCTAATTTAAGGTGAGCTAACTTAGGTTGGTTATTCAACCCGCTTTTATTTATTCAGTTGAATTTTAGGACCTGAATCCTTAACCCACCTGATTAAATAAAAAGTTTGAAAAATTAATACACGCATCTTATTATTATTACAATGTCTTAAAAAAGGGAAGAAAATTATACCATTCTTAAGTGTTTAATCTCAACAATAATATTTAACCCTGCCCTTTACATTTTGTATCAGTATATCACCATTCAACCACGCGCTATTTATATTGTATTAAATGGGGAAGAAATCATATTTGATTAATCCAAAATCACACCTCCTCATCCTTTCTCACGAACTTTTTCCATGAAACAATAATGTGTTGAATACGGTAAAATTATTAATTGAGCTTAACCAGCGATGCGTCCGTGCGATACACTACGTGGTGCAGCTAAATTCGTCGCACGCAAAATTTTAATTAATTACTATCTCCAGGTACTCCTCCGGTCCTTATTATAAGATCCAATTTGACTTTTTATTTGGTCCTAATTATAAGACCCAATCCATTTTCTCTCTTATATTTATGTATTTTTTTCCAAGATAATCCTTCTAATAATGATAGTTTTAGCCAATATACTTAATTAGCAAGGATATTTTAGGAATAACAACATTTATTTATTATAAATAACCAACTTAACTTACTTCCTTAATCTCCTCAAATAAGTCAATTGGGTCTTATAATTAGGACCGGAGGAGTATAATACTATCTCTAGTTCTTAATATAAAATTTCGTTTGACTTTTATATTGGTCCTAAATATAAGACCTCTATCTATTTTGTCTCTCATATTTACTCAATTTTTTCCAAGACAGTTCTTCGAATAATTATAGCTTTAGCCAACATACTTGATTAGTAAGGATATTTTATGAAAAACAATACTTATTTATTACAAATAACTAACTTAACTTCTTTTCTTGATTTCCTCAAATTAGTCAACTGGCTCTTATAATTAGGACCGGAGGTAGTATTTAGTTTGTAATGTAAAATATGCTCCAAATTAGATGTTATATTTAAGATCAAATGTAATATTACATAGCAATAGTATTCATCAAAATCATATTTTATATAATAAACTAAATCAAGTTTTGCATGCTATTTATTTAACGGTATGTGATGCATTGAAAAACAAATCAACACTAAACAATATTAATGGGGCTACAATTGAAATGACTGTGAAAAAAATGGGCTACAAGAAATTCTTTTTGAAAATTAAATAAACAGACGTCTTGGGATTATAAGAGATTTTTTTTTTGGTCAGAAGAAGTATTCATTCATTCAAAGCAAGATTACAATTACTAATCTAAACAAAACTAGCCAACAAGGACAACAAACTTCAATCTTAAAACTACAAATAAACTCCCTAAAACACTGGAAGATGAGAAATTAAATACAACAAAACAAATTCACACATCTCCTTATAAATAAGATTGTATAGTTCTGCCCTATAATCCATGAAAGGTGGAAAGGAGTGGTTGTCCAGTGACTTGCTCAAAATTGAGCCCAACCCTCCATAAACCAATATTGCATATTCGTTAACAATTTTAACAGTCTCTCTTAAATGGAGAGGGAAATAATAACACTGAAAGTTATAGAAAACCTTCAGGTTAACATGGACTTTATTAGGGTTATAACAACAAAATCGTATCCATAAGTAGAGGTTTATTCCAAAAGCCAAGGGATAAATCCTGTTTATTAGCAATTGTTGCAGAAGTATCCATATAGCGGAGCAATCCTCTCTTCCTGGTGGAACCCATCTTAAATCCTCTCTCATCCTCTGATCAATCATTGCATAGGTTCCAAACAGTCTTTCATCCCAAATAAAGCAGGCCAATATTAAAACTGCAGCAAGTTTAAGCTCAGGAAATCCACCGTCAAAGTTAGAGTTACAACCCAAGTTATCACCATATTCATTAAAGTGAAAACCAAAGACTTTATTATACCACATGTAATTTGCCACTTCAATCCAATAAAACCAGCACAAATATTCAATCAGTCTCACAGAAATAATCTCCAGAAAATCATACTATGTTGACTCCAAGGACTGGTTCAACGTAGCATAACTCCTTATCTAATTGCTCATTTCCTCCTCCAAAATCCATTGCTGGCATTTGTGAAATCCGAAAATGAAAAATCAAATATAGAACTAAAGTTCAGATTATAAGGGATATTAAATTCGTGATTTTCTATCTATAGAAAAGTTTGCATGCCACTAAATTATTTAATATAGTGGAAAAGTTTGTCCTTATATCTTATTTATTGTTATTGCAAAGATTAGCATAAAAGAAAGATTATGCATGCACATATTAAAGAGGAGCTTGAGGAAGAGGTAGTAATGGGTGCACGTGTGATGTACCAGTGGCGAAATTCATTAAAGGCCATACTCATTTTACTCCTCCGGTCCTAAATATAAGACCTTTATACAAGTGTATATAAAGATCTTATATTTAGAATCGGAGGAATATATTTTTACTAGCTCTTATCGTTTTCAATAGCTCTTATCGAATAGCGATAAGAAACTCACTTATTTCTTATTAAGGAAAAAAAATACTTGGTTTTATATATTTAAAGTACTGTTTTCAATTAAATCAAAATATCTGTGTATAGATATTACTTATTTTATGTGAAACTCTTCTTATCAATATTATCAATATTTTAAATTTTGGGGCAAAAATTCTGTTATAAGAGTAGATATCAGGGACCTAATTTTACAAATTACCTCGTAAATGATGTAACCCGATTTGTAAATATGAAAGTTTAACTTATAAATATAAAATTTTAATTTTAATTAGTAAATATGTAAGTTTGACTTATAAATAAGATTTTTTTGTTGTTGTTGTGAATCTGTCTATATCTAATTTTTTTACACGAGACCTAAGCCACGGGTCATTTTTCCTTGAGGCACATAACTAGTTTTTATTTTGGTAAGAACTTGAACATTTTTTTTTTTATAAAAACAGCCATGTTCAAGTCGGGCACTGAACATATACACCTCTCCTAGTAAAATCAGAAATTCAAACATTAATTTATTATGTTGCAAGGAATTAATCTTTTTCATTAGTTGTAAGTTGGTCAGCACATAATTAGCTAGGTAACAATCACCAATATTAAATAAAATATTTTTTTGTTAGACATACGAATAACAATATACTAGTCCTAATTATAAAAGCCAGTTGACTAATTTAAGGAGATTAATGAAGTAAGTTGAGTTAGTTATTTGTCTTAAATAGAGTGTTGTCTTTCCTAAAATATCCTTGCTAATTAAGTGTATTGACTAGAACTATAATTATTAGAAGGACTATTTTGAAAAAATTGAGTAAATATGAAAGACAAAATGAATTGGGATCTTATATTTAGGATCAAAATAAAAGTCAAACATAGTCTTATATTAAGGACTGGAGGAGTAGTAATTCTTAAAAATAACTAAGCTTTCATATTCCAAATAGGTCATGGTAAGGTTTAATTTTATAAACACTCGTTCATCTAAAAATAGGTAAACGGACATGTAATAAGCTCAGGTCAAGAAGAATACAATTTTCTCGCGACTTTGGTCATCATTTATGCTGTCTTAGTCACAATATTCCTAATAAATACAAGTCTCAATGGAATAATAAGATATAGGAGGAGTAAAGATTTTCAAACTCGTCGGAGCTATTTAGCTCAATTGACGCTAGACATTCGTTCAATATGGCGAGCGTGCGAGTTTCTCGCGCGCATATTTTGCCCAATAAATGGCGGAGTACCCATTAATATAGAAAAAATTCCAGGGAAAAAAATATTAAAATTAGTTTTTTTTAATTCAAACACCTAACACTTTAAAATGACAGAAAAAAATAAATCTAAATTGAAATTTTAAATTTCAAGAAAAATAATAAAAATGCCTTTTATGAATAACAGTTCATCTGAAAATAAAAAGTTTTGATTGTGAAATTATAAGTTTTGATTTGGGATTAACAACACGTTTTTTTAATGGCATTAACAAAGGATTATTTTTATCATTGCCCTTCAACATCAAAATTTTAATTTGAATTTATTTTTTTTTCCTGTTTTTAAAGTCTGAGATGCTTGAATTAAAAAAATATTAATTTTATATACCACAAATGCATTCTATTACTAAACAAGCGCTCACAGCTCACGCCCCTCGCGTTCCACGTTCTCGGACGTACACCTGCTTCCTGGCGTCCGTTTTCTTTTAATTTTATGAATAAAATATTCTTACTACCAATTATAAACTTCTTTTAGTTTTAAAAATATATACAAACTTTTCTTAAAATTACAATGGTTTCGAGATTTAATTTTCATCCTATTAAGTGACCTTTAAGTTTAATTTTTAAATTTTTATTTTGATCAAAATAGTCATCTTTAACACAAAAGTTATTTAAACATTTATACTTGTCAAAAAAATTTTATACAACAAGAAATAATTTTAATACTTGTATTTTCAAATCTTTAATATGAAATAAAATTATCAATTTTGATTATATTATAAAATTTATAATTTTAATTTTTCACAATAAAACTTATTTATTTAGGTTGCTTTTAAATGGCTGAAAAAATAAATTTAATAAATTATTTTTCA